ATCTTATCTGTTGTTTCGGTATCCCTACAACTGTTATCACGGACAATGCTACAAACTTGAATAGTCATTTGATGGGAAATATATACGAACAATTCAAGATAATGCATCGGAATTCTACTCCCTATCGCACTAAAGCCAATGGTGTCGTCGAAGCAGCAAACAAAAACATCAAAAAGATTTTGAGAAAGATGATCCAAAGTTCCAGGCAGTAGCATGAAAAGCTACCCTTTGCATTGTTGGGCTATCGCACTACTGTGCGCACATCAATCGGAGCAACCCCGTATCTTTTAGTTTATGGCACTGAAGCCGTAATACCCGCAGAAGTCGAGATCCCTTCTCTCCGGATCATTGTTGAAGCTGAAATCGAAGACAGTGAGTGGGTCAAAACCTGTTTGGAACAGTTGACCCTGATTGACGAAAAGCGGATGGCCGCAGTTTGCCATGGGTAGTTGTATCAACAAAGAATGTCCTGTGCCTACAATAAGAAAGTGCGGCCTAGAAATTTTGAAGTGGGGCAACTCGTTCTAAGACGTATTCTCCCCCATCATTAGGAGGCAAAAGGGAAATTTTCTACCAATTGGAAAGGCCCATACATCATCAGAAAGATATTGCCCAGAGGAGCAGTGTACTTGGGAGACATTGAAGGAAATGATCCCGAAGCAGCTATAAATGCAGATGCAATCAAGAGGCACTATGTCTAATATTTCTGCAATGATAACATTGTCTGATTGGGATGACGAAGGCTTTCATTCTCGCTACCCCAAACACTCATTGGCTAACCCTTTTAAGCCGGTTACTTTTCCCCTCTTTGGAACACAAGGATGCGTGAAAAAAAAACAAAAAAACAAAAATGTTTTTCCTGAACTACGTTCAACTTGATTCTGAAAGGATACGTATGCAGCCTCTCTCTGGGGTTCAGTCACACTGAAACAAAAATCCAATTTCCCCCAAAAGTGAAATTGGGGAAGATGTTATCAATCGGCAAAAGGTTTTTCAAAATCGGAGAACGCGGTCGTTTGGATCTGGTGCAATCAAGATGAGAGAAATAAAATGAGAGAGTCTTATTGGTGAAAATCCACGGGCACCATAAGTCAATGGTGAGCAGAGAAATTGAAAACAAGAGAGTCTTGTTAGTGAAAACTCGGAAAAGAGCACTATAAGGCAATGGTGAGAAGAGAAATGAGAGAGGTCGATTGGCGAAAACCCAAAAATGGCGTCGTTGATCGAAAAGAAACAACCCCTCACCACCACTGGTATTGAAAGGGTCCTGGAAAGGTTCCTCGATTTAAAAAACACGGGTCGCAATGGGTTTATGAGAAGTTGGGATAGTTGTGCGGATCGGTAGTCTAGTCCAAGAAGCATGTCATGTCTATTTGAAGTCTGCATGTACCCCAGATAAGTCCATCCTTCCAACCCGAAAGGGACACTTCTCCTTTAAATTCATTTTCTTGTCCTTTGTTTACTTTTTCTTGAATCCCTTTCGGTCTAACTCTGTTCCGAAACTAATACAAAGAAAAGATGGCAAGATTAGTTTTACAGGGTTCTGCTTAATAAAATCCAAGTCCAAATAAAAGTACCCAGCCTCAGTAGGTGCATGAAGTCGATCCTGACTGGCCATGATAACTGATGCTTTGAAATCGGAGTTTATTGAAAATGAAAAAAAATCCCAAGTCAAAGCCCCTAGAGGCAGAATAAAATGAAAGGACCAAAGCCTATAAGCCGTCATGAGAAATTTTGAAAAGTTGAGCTCCTCGGTTTTAGGATAGAGATCAATCTTCAGAAAAGCCAGCAAGCAGCAGAGGTTCCAACCAAAAGAGTTGAGCCAAGATCAAGTGATCAAAAACGATGAAGGCCACAAAACCAACCACAGTTTCAAACTAACAATCGTTCTTTGTTTGAAAAGTTGAAACAGGTGCAACCCAAAGCAACCGTGCGAGAATCAGGTGCAACCGAAAGGGAAAAGATGCACAAGAGCTAGAAACAGCTTGCCGCAACAACCACTCCAAATAAGGGAAGTTCACTCCAAGTTTCTTTCCCGCATATTATTGAAAAATAAAAATTTAAAAAAACTATTAGCTTGGGACTCCCAACCTCAATCTTTTATGCTTTTACCGACATTAGGGCCTCCAATCCCTGAGTTGAGATTTTTTTTAGACATAGGGCCTCCATTCCCTAGTCGCCTTTTACCAACATTAGGGCTTCAATCCCTGAGTTGAGATTTTTTTTAGACATAGGGCCTCCATTCCCTAGCCGCCTTTTACCAACATTAGGGCTCCAATCCTTGAGTTGAGATTTTTTTTAGACATAGGGCCTTCATTCCCTAGTCGCCTTTTACCAACATTAGGGCTCTAATCCATGAGTTGAGATTTTTTTTAGATATAGGGCCTCCATTCCCTAGTCGCCTTTTACCAACATTAGGGCTCTAATCCATGAGTTGAGATTTTTTTTAGATATAGGGCCTCCATTCCCTAGTCGTCTTTTACCAACATTAAGGCTCCAATCTCTGAGTTGAGATTTTTTTTAGACATAGGGCCTCCATTCCCTAGTCGCCTTTTACCAACATTAGGGCTCCAATCCCTGAAGTTGAGTTTTTAGACATAGGACCTCCATTCCTTAGTCGCCTTTTACCAACATTAGGGCTCCAATCCCTGAAGTTGAGTTTTTAGACATAGGACCTCCATTCCTTAGTCGCCTTTTACCAACATTAGGGCTCCAATCCCTGAGCTGAGATTTTTTTAGACTAGGGCCTCCATTCCCTAGTCGTCTTTTACCAATATTAGGGCTCCAATCCCTGAGTTGAGATTTTTAGACATAGGGCCTCCATTCCCTAGTCGCCTTTTGCCAACATTAGGGCTCCAATCCCTGAGTTGAGATTTTTAGATATAGGGCTCCATTCCCTAATCTCTTTCTCTTAAACAGACACAATTTATATTTTTATTGGTTTCAAAAAAAAAGGGAGAAATAATTTAGATTTTAGTTGCAAATAACTCACGAAATTTTTCTAGTGAAAACTGGGGCAGAAAAATTTCGTTCGTTTGTTTGTTTTGAGTGTCTGAGCAGGTTTCATCTCGAGGCACAATATTTGAGATGACCAAGAGAATGAGTCTCAATCCAAAATAAAGAAAATAAGAAAAAGAGCAAAAGCAATAAACTCAAAGTGCTGAAGTGGAGAAGGATGCGGACTACTCAAGATATGATTGAAGTCACAGGCTTCGCGTGTCCCACTTTGATCCACAGCTGAAGAAAGAACCAGCACCTACAGCTGACGAGCATCAAGATACAGATCGGAATCTGCAGCAAGAACCAGCCAAGACTCAATATCAAGCTTCAAGAGATTTATAGATAGGAATCTTGTAACTCGTAGTTGATAGGCGTAGCTAGTTTAGCTTTTTACTTTCCATTTTGGTATAATAAGGAGCTTAGCAAGCAGAAACAGCAGCAACATCAGTGAAATCACAGTTTTCGGTAGTCCCAGCTACCAAAACTTCCAGAACTACACTGACCTGATTCCTTTATAGCCAAGGATATGTAGGCAACCTCTGAAGCAAGGTTCGGTCAGACTCTTTTCAAAAATGCTTCTCATGGAGTTTTAAATGGGCAAAAATCCCTCATAATCGCTCATTTTATCTTTGCCCAAAAACCCTTTGTGTCTCCGAGCAAAGAGGGGCAGTTGTGAGCACGTGATTTTTGCTCCACATGGGTTACTCCTACAGAATTCCAATAATTAGGTTTCTTCTTATAATTATTTGTTATTTTAGGGATTTTTGTAGGATTTTTATTTAATTATTTGCATTTTTGTGCATGTTTAAGTTTTATTTAAATTATGAAAAATACCAAAAAAATATCATGCATTGCATTTAGGATTTGTTTTTGCATTTTTAGAATTAATTAGTAATTATTTGCTTTATAAAAGTTGAAAATCGCAAAAAATAGTTNAATCACAAAAAATAGTTCATTTTTACATTTTTATCTTTTAACTTTTAGTTTATTGATTTTTCTTTTTAATCTAGAGTTAATTATTGTTTATAATTTTTATATTTAATTAGTTTAATCTCACATTCTAGGTAATTTAGGAATTTTTAATTATTAGGCTTGTATTTAATTAAAAAATTAAAAAAAGAAGAAGAAGAAGAAAATGGGTTTAGAATTAAAAGAAATTGAAAAAAGGGGTCATTTTCAGAATTGGGCCATTATTCTTCTTATCCAGTTCGGCCCAAAAGTCCCCCTCCCCATACAAATTAATTGCAGCCCAAAAAGACCCATTCTCCCACGGTACGTCCCAGCCCAAACCGGGCTGACCCACCAAATGACCCGCCTGTTTTGCCCTAAGTATAAAAACCCACTTATAACATTTCCCCCAATTCCCAAACCCTAGACCTAATAACAGAAACATCACCCCCCTTTACTATTCTTCTTCTTCGCTTGAAACTCGCCTCAACTCGCCTGAGTGTTGAACGAGTTCACTCATTGGTCCCCCCCTCCACGTCATCTTATCCTCAACGGATTTGTCAAAGGAGTACAAATTTTCTCTCCGGAATTGCACGATTCTCGTACAGAAGGACAATTGGTGGACGAATGGGAGCCGTGGATAGATGTAAATCGATCCACGCCCTCCATTTGTCCCAAAATCTTAAGATTTTCGGATATTTGAGCAGAAGATTCGAGAATTTTTTAGGGTTATATATAGGAGGTAAGTCTTCTTTTTCAAGGTTTTAAGGATAATAGAGAGAAAAATATTGAGAGAAAACCGGGAAAAATCTTCAGAGCCTAGTCGAAATTTCTAGGGTTTTAGCGACCGTTCTGCTTCAAGTTTTTTTTGAGTCTATTTCTCTGTTTTCAAAAGAAGATAAAAAAGATGGCTTGAGTTTTTGGCCCTCATTTGAGTTCATATT